TGCGTCAGGCCAAAACCACACCCACCCCAGCTCCGGCAATGGGGAAAAAGTCGTGATACGTCACGACCCGTCACGTGACATTGCGAGTTCGACACCCCTGCCCTACCCTGGACTCCGTTTTTCTTTGAAGATCTCTTCTAGTGGCATCATAGTCCCATTTTGGGCCATTTGAAAGATGGAAAAACTCCATTGTGAAAAGAATGTAGATTAATCCTGAAATTGCCAATCACGAACTTGACATCTTTTTCAGCAGATTTCCATGGATTATAGATACTGCCTATATCTATATATCTGTATTTAATTTGGTTTTTTTTTATAGTTACACATTGGCACGATGTAATTTTTATGGCAGCCGTACGTTCCTGTGATGGTTGGCTATCCAAACCAGCATGGATGGTGTCAAAAAGTCACCGGGATTGGCTTGCTAGCATGATCACAGCTCCTCTTTCAGTGAGGAAAAGCACCACGAGGACTGAAGAAGACCCTGTGTATATCCAGAATGTATTTTTTTTGTGCACCCACCATGACAACATGAGGACGGCCCACGTACCACCCTGAAACTAGGACAAGATGGCAACGAACAACAGTGTACCAACAAGCTTTATGTGTGATGATCTTTCTCTCCTGTTTTGTTGCCTGGCAGAGAGTAGAAACAGACTGCTCGGCATGCGATACAAACGGGAACAGATTTTCACATTGGTCAGGGCTTCAAAATGAAAAGCCAGAAATAAATTATAATGCTGAGTGTGTTTCTGGAAACGTAGGCCCCAATTATGGTGAGGTCACATGAAGAAACGTTGGGTTTTTCCCTCCCACCCCCTCACCTTGCAGCATTGGGGTCAAGGAAAATGTTCAAGGAAGACAGAATTAAATCTGCCTTATGCATCGGCGGCATCCTGCTTAACGCAGGCACGGCCATCTGTATCGCAGGTTTATTTGCTTTCTGATTCCTGCCTTTTGAGGCATCGGCTTCCTTCACTTTCTAACGCCGGACGGCAAGATGGAACCGGTAGGCACCAGGGTGCCCACAAGCACCTTCCATGTTGCCCGGCAAATGTCCGGGCCCAATCCAGCTTTTTTCCCCCGTGTAAAATAATAATTCAATGAGGAGTTGGCCAGAGGCAAAGCAAGGCTGCGTCTTGTACTTAGGCATACCACATTTAGCCTGCCAAAACAAGCAAAACCCACCAGGCAAACGGAGAGACCCCTGGATAAGAGCAAAGAAAAAAACCCCATTCTGCAAGACAAATCTTAATCACAGGTGAGTAAGACGTCTCCCGAAAATAAGACCTGGTGCCTCTTTTGGAGGCAAAATAAATAAATACTAATAAGACCCAGTCTTATTTTCAGGGAAACACGGTATGCACAATTTAGCATCTGCCGAGCATCTTCAAATAACGGCTCTGGGAATCGGTATTTTTAAAAGACAAAAAATAGCAGACTGTTGCAGTCCCAGTGCTTCATTTTGAACGAGCCTACTTATTCAGATAGGGCATCCCGGGGTCTAAAAGAGATGGGAAGGAACCAGAAGAGTTGGGTGGACATCTTCATCACCACCACCACCATTTCTATGCCCCACTTTCTGCTCTGGGGATCTTTCAAGGCAGCTAGCAAAATTTAAAACCACTGAACACAAGCAATAAAATAATTCACTTGGTTGGTACAATGCGCTTTTGAGTAAGTCAGTCCGCATTGTCAAGCCTTTTGTGAGACGAGTCATTACTTGTGGTCCCTTAAGAGTTGACCGCAAGTTCATGGCACCTGATCAATTGATCGATTCCTCAGTTTCAATCGGAACAAGTCATACAATTCCTAGAAAAGTCCAGAACCCTGGGAAAGGTGGAAGGAAAGAGAAGAAGAGGATGACCAGCAGCAAGGTGGATGGAATCAGTTAGAGTAATGATGGGAGGCATTGTTGGAAGATCTGAAAGATCACATTAAGGACAGATCAACATTGAGAAGATCAGTCTAGGTCAGGGGTCCCCAACCCCCGGTCTGTGGACTGGTACCGGGCTGCGGCATGCCAGCAACCGGTTCGCACAAACAAGCAAAACCCTATCCGCAGGATGCAGGCAGCACACGAAACCACACACCTCTCCACAGAAAAACCTCTCTCGACGTAACTGGTCCCTGGTGCCCAAAAGGTTGGGGACCTCTGGTTTAGGTGGTTGATAAGAATTGACACGACTTTGTGTAATCAATCAGTCAGTCAGTTCCCCACATTTTGGATTTTAGTTCCCTGCTGTCATTGCCAATAGAGCAAATCTATTCTGGAAGCTGCAATCCAAAAACAACCAAGGATCCCATTTTTTAAAAAAAATCTCTGCTCTATTTTAACCAGGCAGAATTTACTTAATTTACTGATAATCTGGACTTTTCGATTGTAAAATTCTTCAGTTAAAGACAAACAAATAGAACTCCTTCCTTCCTTCCTCTCTCTCTCTCACTCTCTCTTTCCTTTCTCTTTCTTTCGTTCTTCTTTCTTTCTTTCTTTCTTTCTTTCTTTCTTTCTTTCTTTCTTTCTTTCTTTCTTTCTTTCTTTCTTTCTTTCTTGTGCAAAATGAAGTAATCCACCACTGTTTCACAATAGAAAACCGTGATAGCAGAGAATGGAGGAGTGGCATTTGAATGTCAAACCATTTACTGTCTTCCTGGATTGCATGGAATTCACTCTCTTAAATGGGTTTAGAGAAAATCATTTTCTGTTTCTCTCAACACTTTCACCGTGGTCACCCAACCTTCTCTTCTCCCATTTTTGTGACCAGTTTGTAGCTCGTTGGAGTTTTGTTTACATCTCTTGCTTTTAGATGTTTTACACTGTAACATCTTAAGGTTTATAAATATATGGATAGATAGATAGATAGATAGATAGATAGATAGATAGATAGATAGATAGATAGATAGATAGATAGATAGATAGATAGATAGATAGATAGATAGATAGATAGATAGATAGATAGATAGATAGATCGATCGTCAGAAGTCTCCTGAAAGTTGGGCTCAACTCCTGGTGGCTTCATGGCTAACGTCTACATGATTTCTTGAATTGGTTTCTGCTGCTTTCCTCCAGAATTTAACTCCCCAATTAGTTTATAGCCATGGGAATGTCCTAATCAATCTCTCCTCCAAATGCTGGTTAGGTTCAATCCTGTTTAGCTTTTTCAGGATAGCCAAGACCAACCACCTAGGAAGCTACTGCCAATGGTACCAGCACCAAGTCTTTCTCTTTAGACTAACCCTCTTCTTACAATGTTGTTCTGGATGCAGTTTGAGTGCGTCTTTATTCTGCAAAACATAAAACCAAATGCCCAAATCTGTTTTTGTCACTGCCTTCCCACTTCTTCAGGAATTAACCCTGGAGGCATTGCCCACAATGTTTATAGAAAGAGGGAAGCAGTTGTGCCATGTAACTGGAAATCGCCCTTTGAACAGCTGCATCCATCTACGCTGTGCCCCTTAAATCTGCCAAGCTTTGCTTTCTTTAGCAATGCCTCTCCTTCTTTCCTTTATTTGGTTTACAAAGCCTTTCGGCTGGGTTGAGAAACATTTTTCATCTGTGGGCACAGAGATGTCTCTGGGATTAAAAGTGGATGGAAACTTTCAATGGGTAGATGTTGGCTCTATGAACTCCAATCACAGGGTCCATCTCTTGATCCATACAGTGGCCAATGATATAGGCCAGTGGTGGTGAACCTATGGCACGCGTGCCAGAGGCGGCACTCAGAGCCCTCTCTGTGGGCACACGCGCCATGCCCCGGAGATGGCAATCGTCCCTCTTCAACCAGCCGCCTGCTAACTTGCCGAGGTGCCACATGGCCAGATGCATCCCAGCACCCATGCGCTCGCTGGCCTCTGTGTGCAGGGGCCGATGGTGTCAGGCAGCAGCTGCCCCAGCCCGTCTCACCTTGCCCTGTGACAATGGCACCCCCGCCCTGTCTCGCCTCACCCCGCAGGATGAGCCTCCTGCCCACCGCCCCACCTGCCAGAGACCCCCTGGATCTCCCCCAACCCTGCCCAGCCCCCACAGGCGTCTCTTCCCACGAGCAACATCAAGGTGATCACGCCCATCTTGGCCACACCCACCCAATCTGCCATGATCACCACAGCCACACCCATCCAGTGGGCCACGCCCACCTGGCACCCGGCGATAAATAAGTGGGGTTTGGGTTGCAGTTTGGGCACTCAGTCTCTAAAAGGTTTGCCATCACTGATATAGGCAGAAGTGGGGAACTATGACCTCTTCGTGACTCGTGGACTTCAACTCCCAGAATACAACTATGGCCCCTTTATGACTTGTGACTTCAACTCCCAGAATGCAACTATGGCCCCTTTATGACTCGTGGACTTCAACTCCCAGAATTCAACTGAGAGCATGGCTGGCTCAGGAATTCTGGGAGTTGAAGTCCACAAGTCATAAAAGGGCCATAGTCCCCCACCCTTGGTATAGGGTCTTCTGGGGAAAAAAGTGCTGAGGGGTCCTTGATGCTTTCCGAAGACGTTACCTGGTAATGATCCTGGGCCAGGAAAAAGACTGGTCTAAGACTTCCCAGTTATCTATAAGAGATGACAACATCCCGCATAGAACTCATAACAATTACCAGAATATATTAATCAGAGGCAGTCCAAAACAGGAGAAAAATATAGGAAGGGATTAGGAAGCAAGGAGACTGCGGAAATGCATAGATCACATAAATGTTGATGTCAACTTTGGGTAGGCAAGGGGTTAAAGGGCAGATGGTTTTTACTCCGTGGGACGGGTTTTTGGTTTTCTTTATCTTTAAGGGGACGATAACATTCTGGGAAACAGCTTTCTAAAACAGGAGGTTTGAGCTGTTAGGCCGACTGTTTGGGGGAAGATTTACAGTGACAACAACTTTTGGGGAAAGCATTATATCTTTAAAGTAATGGAGATGTCATTTCTCAGCAAGGCTTCGTTGGTTGCAACAGTCTGAATCATAAAAGCCTGGAACTTAAATTATAACAACAAAGTCAACGCTTACTCATTACGGCTTCAGAATAATAAACTGTCTCTCCGATCCAGGATGTTGTCCAGAATTTAATTCTCGGAAAGGTTTAGCCAAACGACCAACAGGACTAATACAATCCTAGTTTATTGGAAAAATTAAGTCTCAAACAAACATGCACATGTTATTTCTCAGCAGGTAAGACAAGCTCAGCTGGTGGGGGATGGGACTGAGCAGGTAGCATCATTATTTAGGCGAGGGAGGGAGGGAAGGAGGGAGGAAGGGGGGAAGGAAGGGAGGGAAGGAAGGAAAGAAGGAAGGAAAGAAGTGAGGGAGAGAGGAAGAAAGAGAAAAAAAGAAAGAAAGAAAGAAAGAGAAGGAAGGAAGGAAGGAAGGAAGGAAGGAAGGAAGGAAGGAAGGAAGGAAGGAAGGAAGGAAGGAAGGAAGGAAGGAAAGGAGGGAGGGAAGGAAGGAATAAATGGAAGACGGAGGGAAGGAAAGA